GCGCCGCCGCCGCCGCCGCCGCCGCCGCCGCCGCCGCCGCCGCCACCACCACCACCTCCTGGCAATGTGAATCTTAATAAAATGTTTGCAAACCAAATTCAGGAACACGTGAAGACCATACATTATGTCCAAGTGGGCTTCATCCCAGAGGGGCAAGGTCAGTCTGACTGACACATAAATCAATAAAGGTGATCCCTTACAAACACTCCAGGACAGAAACCACACACGGCTATTTCAGTCAGCTCTGAAAAGGCATCTGACAAAGTTCAACATGCTTTTGTGATAAAAGTTCTGGAGATGTTAGGAATAGATGGAATAGACCTCAAAATAATAAAGGACTTTACAGTCAACATTACATCAGATGGAGACAAACTGAGAGCATTTCCTCTCAAATCAGGATTGACACAAGGATGGCCACTGTCCCCTCTCATTCAGTATACTGCTTGCAATCATGGCTGTAGCAATTAGAGAAGGACATAAGGGACATAAAAATAGGAAAGGACAAAGTCAAACTCTCTTTTTGCAGATGACATGATTCTTTACAGGAGTCCCTATTGAGTTGACTAGAAAATTCTTGGACCTAATAAACAGTAAAGTTTCAGGATACAAAATCAATAATTAAAAAAACAAAGTCAGGGTCCGGAGAGATGACTCAGAGGTTAAGAGCACCGGCTGCTCTTCCAGAGAACCTGAGTTCAATTCCCAGCACCCACATGGTGGCTCACAACCATCTATAATTCTATCTGGTGTCCTCTTCTGGCATGTAGGCAGAACACTGTGTACATAATAAATAAATTTTAAAAAAGCCAGATGGTGGTGGCACATGCTTTTCATCGCAGCACTCGGAGACAGAGGCAGGTGGATCTCTGTGAGTTCGAGGCCAGCCTGGACTACAGAGTGAGTTCCAGCGCAGCCAGGAGCTACACAGAGAAACCCTGTCTCAAGAAATCAAAAACAAAACAAAACCAAAAACCCACAAACAGTAGCCTCATTTATACTGACTACTCTCAGAACATTGTTAGAAATTAGAAAAATATTCCATTCAAAATGATCCCCCCCAATTAAGTATTTAGGAATACATTTAAATAAAGACATGAAAGATATATACAACCAAGATTACAAGATATTTGAAAGAGGGAATCACAGAAGATACTAGACGACAGAACATTCCATGTTCCTGGGTAGGCATTATTAATATTGTGAAAATGCCTGTGCTACTAAAATTAATATACGAAATTAATACAATTCCCATCACAATCCCAATGTAAAACTTCACAGATTTAGAAAAAAAACATAATTCATGTGACATTGGTTGTGGTGGCTCATGCCTTTAATCCCAGCACTCAGGAAGCAGAAACAAGTGAATCCCTCAGTTCGAGGCCAGCCTGGCCTACAGAGCAAGGTCCAGGACAGCTAGTGAAACCCTGTCTCAAAAACAGATAAATAAATAAAAATAAAATAATGTGGAAGCACAAAATACCAAGGAGTGAGAATCCTGCCAGAGGGCGGGAGAGATGGCTCAGTGGTTGGGAGCAGTGGCTGCTCTTCTGGTAGACCTGGGTTCAATTCCCAGCACCCACATGGCGGCTCACAGCTGTGTCATTTCCAAGGGAAAAAAGACTACTGGGCTGTCTCTCTCTAAATAAAAAAAAATTTGAAAAAAAAGAGAGAGAGAGAGAGAATCCTGCCAGTGATGTTACAATACGAAACCTGAGAGAGAGAGCATGAAGTGGGGTGGATAGGGAGGTGGATCTGGGAAGAGCTGGAGCTGGGGGAAGAGAATATGATCAAAACATAGTCTCAAAAATTATTAAGGACCAGCCTTAATAATCTTCTTCCCAGGGGCTCAGAAGAGAAGCTACGAACGGCAAGAATTATTTTCAGGAAAGGAATCTAAGTACACCAAGCTCTTTTGTCCGTCTACTTTATTCCTCTGGGATAAAATTCTGTCTACACAGCTTCAGTTCTGCTCTCCTGCCTAGCTCCTTTCTTGCCTGATTTCTCTCTACATTTATCTGCTGTCCCCTCTAAGTTCTATCTTTATTCTCTTTTCTTAGTTCTGCCCCATCTAGGTTCTCATCCATCTAGTTCTTTCCCACATCAGCTCCTCTCCCATCTCCTCCTCTCTCATCTTGTTCTTCCCCATCTGGCTCTTCCTCATCTTCCATCTCGTTCCTCTAGTCCTCTCCTCTGGCCCTTCAATCTAGTTCTTCCCCATCTCAGTTCGTTCCTCTCCAGTTCTTACCCATCTGGCTCTTCCATTCTCTTTTCTCTTCTCCATCTAGTCCTCTGAAAATAAAACTGCTTTTTAATCCCTTTGATCCTTATCTCTCCAAGCTATCCCTGCTCCTGCCGTTTCTGGCCAGTGTGCTCTGTCGCTAGGCAACTCGGCTAAGCAACTTCCATCACAGCTAGATGTACCTGTAAGTAGGAACCCTTTAGTTCTGAGTTAATTGTTAAGGGTAGAGCTAAAACTAGAGATAAGACTTTGGAAAGGAGAAAGTTAAGCTTAATTAGCACATCCACCAGGCCTTCTCAAACAGATAGTCTGGATGCTTAAGTCTGTTCTTAGAGAGTACAGAGGTATCTCTGATAAGGTACTTTCGTCCACCCAAGGATGGTCCTGGCTGGATGCTGCCAATGATGATAATTACAGGGAGGCTTGAACTGGGGTTCTGGCTGTGCACAGCTGTCAGCACAGAAGGTCATCTAAATATTCCTTTAGTAGAGGGGAAATGGTGCCCAATAAATGATGGAAAAGCTACAATAGCACATGAGAAATTCATAGCAGGAAATGGCTGATAATCAAAAGCCAAACATCACCAAGACTCCTTGAGCCTCAGCTTGACCTCTGGAAGGCCCTTGGCTTCTTCCAGGTATTAGCTTGTCATAATCAGCTGAAATCCTACTGCATATATTTTTGTGGCTTGCAGCAATATTGTATAAAAAATTTCAATAAATCCTACCGTAGTACTGTGGTGATAAAGACAGCCTGGTACTGGCATGAAAAGGCAGGTAAACCAATGGAGTGGAGTCGAAGACCCAGAAATTGAACAGGAAAGGATGGCCACTTAGTTTTTGACAACGGAGGCAAAAACAGACTTGGAAAAAAAGACAGCCTAGTCAACAAACGGGGTTTCTGCCTCCAGAAGACTGTAGGTATATCCACATTCACCTTGTACAAAAACCAACTCAAAAGGGATTGAAGACATTAATCTAAAACCTGAAACAAAAGCCCGGCGGTAGTGGCGCAGGCCTTTAATCCCTGCCCTCGGGAGGCAGAGGCAGGCTACAGAGTTCGAGGTCGGCCAGCACAGCACAGAGAAACCCTGTCTCGAAAAAAACAAACAAAATGAATGTACTTGGAATGTATAATATTGTGAAGCCACAATCTCAGAAAGAAACTAACCCTGATGTTTGCCCTCCTATGTGGAACACAGCCATTATGTATGTATGGATACAGTGTAACAGGAGGGGAAGAGAACAGGAAATGCTGGCTATAGGGATGAGGAGGAACTGAGTGCAGGTAATGAATACGGGTCGTGAAAGACGACATAACTACTTTTCTAGTTCTAAAATACTGTCATGGGTTTTTGGTTTTGGCGGTAGATAATGCATAAAATATATTAGCTACTGAAAGCCTAATATTTAATGTGAAGCATCCATTTTGAATGCCAATTCTTTTTTTCAAGACAGGGTTTCTCTGTGTAGCTTTGGAGTCTGTCCTGGAACTCACTCTGTAGACCAGGCTGGTCTCGAACTCACAGAGATCCACCTGCCTCTGCCTCCCGAGTGCTGGGATTAAAGGCGTGCGCCACCACCGCCCGACTTTTGAATGCCAATCCTAATTTTTGTACGAATAAGGAAATAAAAAGAGGATTAAAAAGTGGGACACACACACACACACACACACACACACACACACACACACACACACACACAAGACGCCTCGTGAATCTGCAAGCAGAGACTCCAAAGATGGCCCGCCACCAGCCAGAGGTCTCAGCCGCCTTGGCTCAGCTCGGGGCACCACTGGCTATTTCAAAATTGCTAGACTGAGGAGTGTGGAGCTTGGTGGCCTGTTTCCCCCACTGCAGAGCGAATGGCAGGCACTCTTCAGAGGAAGGCAAGAGCCTTGGTGGGTAACCCGCAGAGGCCACAAGCCACAGACACACATTTCACTTCTTCCCGACAGCTGTTTCCACCCCACCACCCCCAGGACTCATGTCAAGCGTTACTTTTCCGGCCCCGTTCCCCCGGCCCCCCGCCCCATTCTCCATCCCGCCTTCACGAACCAAGAACACAGTGGAAAGGGAGGCAGTGTGTTGCGTGTTAAGTAACAGACACCTTGACTCACAGTGGCTTTGTTTTTTAGACAGTCTTGATAATGTATCCCTGGCTGGTTGGATCTCCCTCTGTGGACCAGGCTGGCCTCGAACTCACAGAGATCCATTGGCCCTCTGCCTTCCAAGTGCGGGGTCTAAAGGCATGTGCCACCGTGCCTGGCAATAGTGGCTTTTTCGTCCAGTAGAACAAGAAAGAAGACCCGGGTAGTAGGGCAATCCAGCAGTGCGCCCGAGGGCCAGTTCCACCTTTCACGCCATTACTATTAGGGTGTAGAGGATGGCCACCCACGCATGCATTGCCTGTGGGTACCCAAAGGGCTACTGTGGCTTCAGGCTTTCCGTCCTTCATTTCGGTCAGGACAAAGAGAAAAGGATTTTCTCCCGGTGTGGTTCCATTTATTTATGTATTTATGTAAGTATGTATGTATGTATTTATTTCCTTTTGCATCAGGGGACACCCTCCCTGAGGACATTCCCCAAACTGGGGGCTTTAGCCCAAGTTTCTTAACTCTGGAGGAGTCGGGCTGCGGGGCTGGCTGGGGCCTTAGTGCTGAGGCTGCTGACCCGAGTACCATGCCCGTGACCCCGGCGGTGGCAAGAGAATCAGGCTCGGAAGCCTTCAGCCTTCCATCCCTCTCTCCCATCCCTGTGCAGACGGACAGCCCGGTGCCCAACATCATGGAGATGGCCTTCTACTTCGAGCAGGCGGGCGTGGGGCTGAGCTCGGACGAAAGTTTCCGAATCTTCATGGCCCTGAGGCAGCTGGTGGAGCAGCAACCCATCCACACGTGCCGCTTCTGGGGCAAGATCCTGGGTCTGAGCCGCAGCTACCTGGTGGCCGAGGTGGAGTTCCGCGAGGGCGAGGAGGAGGGCGAGGAGGAGGAGGTGGAGGAGCTGATCGAGGGGGGCGAGGTCCTGGAGGCGCACGGCGAGGAGGAGGGCGAGGAGGATGAGGAGAAGGTAGTGGATGCAGTGCCCAAGCCGCAGTGGAAGCCGCCGCCCGTCATCCCCAAGGAGGAGAGCCGCACCGGCGCCAACAAGTACCTGTACTTCGTGTGCAACGAGCCGGGCCGCCCGTGGACGCGCCTGCCGCACGTGACGCCCGCGCAGATCGTGAGCGCGCGCAAGATCAAGAAGTTCTTCACGGGCTTCCTGGACACGCCGGTCGTCAGCTACCCTCCCTTCCCGGGCAACGAGGCCAACTACCTGCGCGCACAAATTGCACGCATCTCGGCCGCCACGCACATCAGCCCGCTGGGCTTCTACCAGTTCGGCGAGGAGGAGGGCGATGAGGAGGAGGAGGGCGGCGCGGGGCGCGACTCGTTCGAGGAGAACCCCGATTTTGAGGGCATCCCAGTGCTGGAGCTCGTGGACTCCATGGCCAACTGGGTACATCACACGCAGCACATCCTGCCTCAGGTGAGGACCGAGTGCCCCAACCAGGACCCACGCCAATCTAGCCCAGCATCTGTATGGTAAGAGCATGATGCTGGCGGTTGTCCATCCATCCATCCATCCATCCATCCATCCATCCAGTATTATACTCACCCACCCATCCATCTACCCAAGCATCCAACCATGGATCGGTCCATTGGTCTATCCACCCATCCTTTTCCCTTGAATCCTCCTATCTATCACATCCGTGATCTGTCCATTCATCCATTCATCTACTTACACATCAACCAACCCTTCACCCAGGTACCCTCCTCCCAACCACAGACCTGTTCACCTACCAGTCCATTCATCAGTGTATCTAACCACCCACGTGTCTGTCAACTGTCTATCCATCCATACATCTACCCCATTCATCTACCCAATTGTCTACCTATGCAGAACGTGTCTTTAGGATTTTTGAGTGGAGAGAGGTGACGGTGATGCTGATTGTGTCTAGTGCCTGCTGGGTCCTGACATCAGCCTTGGGTTTTGGTCATTCCATGAAGATTGTTGGGAGCAAGGACTTTGTAACTACATTTTAATTTATTACGTATTAATTGTGTTTGTAGAGGTCAGAGGACAGCTTTCAGGAGTCAGCTCTCTCCTTCCACCATGTGGGTCCTGGGAATTGAACCCATGACGTCAGACTTTTCCGTAGACACTTTTATCCACTAAACCATCTCCCTGGCCCAGCTAGGAACATCTAATTAATCCACTAGTGAATTGATTTGTTCAATCATCTGTTGTCAACTTTGCAATATAATATAATATTTGATATTTTTATTATAATATAATACAATAATTATAATATATTAGAATATATAATTATTATAATATTTGCAATTTTTAATATAATATTTGATTATATTAAAAAAAACTCCTTGTGTAGCTGTGGGGTGGCACAGCCTACTGTGAGCTGGGCCTTCTCCCATCAGTCATTAACCAAAAAATGCCCCCACAGACTTGCTTGCAGGCCAATCTGATGGAGGCTTTTTCTCGGGTGAGCTTTCTTCTTCCAGGGTGACTTTAGTTTGAATCGCGCTGAAACACACACACACACACACACACACACACACACACACCAGCAGGAGCAGCAGACCAGTGCATCAGGCATAAGCTACCATATTTGCTTCAAGTAACGCATTCTGTGATCAGGACAAGTACTGACCGTGCTTCACAGCTGAGGAGATGGGAGGTTGCTCTGTGCTGTGTGCCTGCCTGTACTTATTATTCAAAAAGCAGTCATTGGTCAGAGGGAGTTCAAGGTCACAGAACAAGACCCCCGTGTTAAAGACAACAGGGCCTGATGTGGCGGCCTTTGATTCCAGAACTCGGGAGGCGGAGGCAGAGGCAGGCGGATCTTTGTAAGTTCGAGGCCAGCCTGGGCTGTTACACAGAGAAACCCTGTCTTGAAAAACAACAAAAGGAAGCAAGGAAACAACAAAATTGAAACAAAGTTGGGAGTGTAACTCAGTAGAATGTTTGTCTGACATCAGTAACACACACACACACACAGAGAGAGAGAGAGAGAGAGAGAGAGAGAGAGAGAGAGAGAGAGAGAGAGAGAGAGAGAGAGAGAGAGAGAACAGGAGCACTCACTGGCTGACGGAGCCCAACACCAACCCAATCCAATGAGGGAGGTACAAGTGCCCCTGCCGCTGCTGAATGAGAGCGGTCCCAGAGCAGAAATACTGAGGTCTCTTTTCTCCGCAATGTGTCCAGCACCCTGGTGCTCACTGGGGACAGGACCAGTGCTCTAGGGGCCTGTCGGGCTCTCCCTCCGCTTTCTCCCACAGTAGGCTAAGCTTTGTCGGAGGGTGCCATGTGATTTCGCCACTGCACCCCCAGGGCCGCTGTACGTGGGTGAACCCAATGCAGAAGACGGAAGAGGAGGAGGAGTTAGGGGAGGAAGAGGAGAAGGCAGACGAGGGCATGGAGGAGGTGGAGCAGGAGGTCGGTCCTCCTCTTCTGACTCCTCTCTCGGAAGATGCAGGTGAGTCCTTCTTTGGGGGCAGGTGCCATGCTGGCCCGCGAGGGATTGGTGGGGTGGAAGGAAACACGAATGTCACACACTTTCTGAGCCTCAGTGCAGTGGGCATCGGGCCAGCCCTGGGAGCACAAGTCCCAGCATTAGGGAGGTAAAAGCCGGAGGCTCCTGAGGCATCCTCAGCGATGCATGGAGTTTGAGACCAGCCTCGGTTGTGTGCCACCCCGTTTTATTTTATTTTATTTTATTTTATTTTATTTTATTTTATTTTATTTTATTTTATTTTATTTTATTTTTTTTCCCGGAGCTGAGGACCGAACTCAGGGTAGAGGCAAGCGCTTTACCACTGAGCTGAATCCCCAACCCCTGCTACCCTGTTTTAAAACAAACAAACAAGCAAACATGGGTCTGGGGGAATGTGTCCATCTTGTCACCAAGCCTCATCTGGCACTTGACCATGACCAGACAGAGTCTCTTCCCTGGTTTTCTCTCTTTCTGGGGGGCTGTCATGGGGTTGTTGTTTTGTTGTTGGCCTTTTTTACTGTTTTGGGGGCCAACCACCCAGCTCCCAAATAAATCACACACGGAGGTTTATTCTTAATTATAAATGCCCACCTTAGCTTGGCTTGTTTCTAGCCAGCTTCTCTTAACTTAAATTATCCCGACTTCCTTTTGCCTTTGGGCTTTTCCCGTTCTCTTACTTCTGTAAATCTTACTCTTCCTCCGGGGCTGGCTGTGTAGCTGGGTGGCTGGCCCCTGGAGTCCTCCTCCTTCTCTGGCTACTTCATTTTTCCCAGATTTCTCCTTCTATATATTCTGTCTGTCTGCCAGCCCTGCCTGTCCTTTCTCCTGCCTTGCTATTGGCCGTTCAGCACTTTATTAGACCATCAGGTATTTTAGACAGCTTTACAGAGTTCAACAAATGCAACATAAACAAAAGTAACACACCTTAAAATAATATTCTACAACAGCCATTTAAGGCAGGTCTCACTCTGTAGCCCAGGCTGGCCTTGAACTCCAAACAATCCTCTGGTCTCCTCAGTGCTGGGATTACTGGCGTGTGCCCCTACACCTAGCTGGGAGACAGTCTTTTGAGCCTGACTCAGGCTTGGGAAAGAGAGAGTTTAGGAGCCTCCCCTAAGGGAGGCAGCCAAGAGTTGAATTTTGCATTCATGGCAGGAATTCCCTAAGGCTGAGGCACTTGGAGGGAAGAGGAAGGAGTGGCCGGGAGGGCAGTCCAGGAGGGCAGTCCAGGTCCTTCACATGAGCCACAGCACCCTGGTTCAAAGCCACGTACCCTGCAAGAGAATGCTCGTAGCTCCCTGCTGGAAGCATAGCTACCAGACCTCACTACCCCCCACCCCAGGAAGGGAGGTGACGTGAGTGTCCTTGTTTCCTTCACTGAAGCAGAGACAGGGGAAGTGGCTTCCTCGGGCCACATCAGGAGAGAGAGGGGCCAGAGCCAGGGCTCTCTCAGTGTGATTTGTACCTCCTGCCTGGTCCCCGCTATTCCGTCTCTTCACCCATGTGGTAAAGCGGGGCTGGGGGACCCCTGACCCCACTTCCCTTGTTCTTCTCACCACAGAAATCATGCACCTGGCGCCCTGGACCACCCGCATCTCCTGCAGCCTCAGCCCGCAGTACTCGGTGGCCATCGTGCGCTCCAACCTCTGGCCAGGGGCCTACGCCTACGCCATTGGCAAGTACGGTTGAGCCTTGACCCAAGGGTCTGTCTATGGTACAGACATCTTACCTACCCGCCAGGCAGTGGTGGCGCCCACCTTTATTCCCAGCACTCGGGAGGCAGAGGCAGGTGGATCTCTGTGAGTTCGAGGCCAGTCTGGTCTATAGAGCGAGATCCAGGACAGCCAGGGCTACAAAAAGAGATTCCCATCTCAAAAAATATATATTAACAATCTGCAGCCACCTCCACTTCCATCCTTTGTACCTTTAAATTGTCTCTTTAAGTTCCTAAAGCAAGCTCACCGACCGCCCAGTCCGGTACAGCCTTCCGAGAGCCTGGCTGCGGTACCAGACCTGTCCACCAGAGGGCAGAGCTTTGCTGCCCTGAACTCTGAATGTGGCCAGCATTGTTGCGTTCTGAGTTTAAGAGTCCTGATGGAGTTTCCTGGAAACTTGATACTTCAACCATATTCTTGTGAATTATTATTTTTTTGCCCAGAGTCTGAGACTAGGACTTTTCCAACCCTCTTATTCCAACACACATTAATTTTTAAAAATCCCTCTGAAAGTCAAATTGAGTTCTACTGACCCCTACATGCTCATGCCCTTTTCTCCCTCCCCTCCCTCCCATCCACTCACCCATTCATTCGTCATCAGTCCGTCCATCCATGCATCCATCAGTTCATTGACTCATCCATCTTTGTCTTTTTTTAGAGTGTTCTGGAAAAAGTTATATATATTGTTTACATGTATGTGTGTGTGTGTGTGTGTGTGTGTGTGTGTGTGTGTGTGTGTGTGTGTGCTTGTGTGAGTTTATGTACACCATATTCATGCAGGTGCCTTTGGAGGCCAGTAGAGGGCACTGGGTGTCCAGGAACTGGAGTTACAGGTGGTTCTGAGCCTCCTGATGTAGGTGCAGGAAACCAGTAAGCATTCTTAACAGCTGAGCCATCACACAACCCAAAAAGAGATTTTATTTTGTTTTATGTGGGATTTCTTTGAGACATGATCTCACCATGTAGACAGACCTGGCTGATCTGGAATTCATTCTGTAGACCAGGCTGTCCTCGAACTCAGAGAGATCCACCTGTCTCTGGCTCCTGAGGGTTGTATTAAAGGTGTGCATAATCACAAGTGCCTAAGAATCCTTTAAAATTAATCGTTTTTTGTGCATGTGTGTGTGTGTGTGCATGTGTGTGTCATGCATGTTGAGGTGGAAGGCACAGGAAGGGGAGCTAACCTTCCACCTTATTGTGGCAGTCTCTCTGTCTTGTTTCTGTGCTGTGCTGCGTACTCCAGGCTAGCTCCCTGAGCTTCCAGATAATGATTCCATGTGTCTCTGCATCCCATCCCACAGTACAAATGCTGAGGTACAGTTGTGCACCACCAAATCTGACCTCTTACGTGGGTTCCAGGATCAGACTCGGGTTGTCCGGCTTGTGCTGCTGTCTCTCTGACCCCAAAAGAGCCTTACTGTTGTTGACACAGGGTTTCATTATGCTGCTCTGGCTGGCCTTGAACTCTCTATCCTCCTGCCTCTGCGTCTGGAGTACTGGGGTTACAGGTGCATGTCATCATGTTTGGCTCTATAAGAAACTCATTTTTTTAAAAGATTTATTTATTTATCATGTATACAGTGTTCTACCTGCATATATGCCTGCAGGGCAGAAAAGGGCATCAGATCCCACTATAGATGGATGTGAGCCACCATGTGGGTGCTGGGAATTGAACTCAGGTCCTCTGGAAGAGCAGCCAGTGCTCTTAACCACTGAGCCACCTCTCCAGTCCCATCTATAAGAAACTCTTGAATGTCACTATTTGGCAGCTGCCTGCGGGACCCCAGGCCTGTGTTGGAAAGACAGCCATGGATCCATCCGTGGAAGCGGGTCGCGGGAGTGCAGTCATCAGCTATATGACACCCCTTGCTCCCCGTGCCAGCGAGTACCCTGTTATAAAGCAGAAAAGCTCCTAATTGGGTGGCTTGGGTCCTTGGGGATTGTGGAGAGAAGCAACCTTCAATCTACAATCCACAGAGAAAGAAAGAAGTACCAGTGAGAGACAGGCAGGAGTATTCTAGACTCATTGAGAATCTGGCAAAGATGAAAATTCTAGTTCAAATGTCTAAAAAAGAGGCTGGGTTTCAGGGTGATTGTTTGGATTGTGGTGCTGGGAGGGAACCCAGGGTTTTGGCCTGTTCTAGGCAAGTGCCCTATTACTGAGCCACACCCCCAGCCCCTCACTGGGGATTCTAGGCAGGGGCTCTACCACTGAGCCACACCCCAGCCCCTCACTGGGGGATTCTAGGCAGGGGCTCTACCACTGAGCCACACCCCCAGCCCCTCACTGGGGGATTCTAGGCAGGGGCTCTACCACTGAGCCACACCCCCAGCCCCTCACTGGGGAATTCTAGGCAGGGGCTATACCACTGAGCCACACCCCAGCCCCTCACTGGGGGATTCTAGGCAGGGGCTCTACCACTGAGCCACACCCCAGCCCCTCACTGGGGGATTCTAGGCAGGGGCTCTACCACTGAGCCACACCCCCGGTCCCTCACTGGGGGATTCTAGGTAGGGGATCTACTACTGAGCCACACCCCAGCCCCTCACTGGGGGATTCTAGGCAGGGGCTCTATCACTGAGCCACACCCCCGGTCCCTCACTGGGGGATTCTAGGCAGGGGCTCTACCACTGAGCCACACCCCAGCCCACATTTTACTTCTTTTTTCAAAGATTTATTTTTATTTTATGTGCATTGGTGTGAGGGTGTTAATCTCCTGGAATTGGAGTTACAGACAGTTGTGAACTGCCATGTAGGTGCTGGATTGAACTTGGGTCCTCTGGAAGCACCAGTGCTTTAGTTTTGTTTGGTTTTTTTCAAGACAGGGTTTCTCTGTGTAGTTTTGGTGCCTGTCCTGTATGTCACTCTGTAGACCAGGCTGGACTCGAACTCACAGAGATCCCCCTGGCTCTGCCTCCCGAGTGCTGGGATTAAAGGTGTGCACCGTCACCGCCTGGCTTCTATTTTTCATTCTTTATTTCATAACATGTTTTTAGAATCTGGAATATATTTTCCAGTAAAATGAATCTCAGTTTGGATATGAAGTTTTCATTAGGAAGACTTGCTGGACTGGTGGTGCAGGTCATGATTCCAATAACTCAGATAATCAGGAAACCAAAGCAGGAAGAAGATGAGTTATTCCAAGGCCAGCTTTGGCTGCAGAGGAAGCTTAAGGCCAGGCTGAGCAACCTAGAATGTATTTCAAGATAAAAAAAAAAAAAAAGAGCTGAGGCTACATACAGCTCAGTGGTAGAGCCCCTGCCTAGAATCCCCCAGTGAGGGGCTGGGGTGTGGCTCAGTGGTAGAGCCCCTGCCTAGAATCCCCCAGTGAGGGGCTGGGGGTGTGACTCAGTGGTAGAGCCCCTGCCTAGAATCCCCCAGTGAGGGGCTGGGGGTGTGGCTCAGTGGTAGAGCCCCTGCCTAGAATCCCCCAGTGAGGGACTGGGGGTGTGGCTCAGTGGTAGAGCCCCTGCCTAGAATCTCCCAGTGAGGGGCTGGGGGTGTGGCTCAGTGGTAGAGCCCCTGCCTAGAATCCCCCAGTGAGGGGCTGGGGGTGTGGCTCAGTGGTAGAGCCCCTGCCTAGAATCCCCCAGTGAGGGGCTGGGGTGTGGCTCAGTGGTAGAGCCCCTGCCTAGAATCCCCCAGTGAGGGGCTGGGGGTGTGACTCAGTGGTAGAGCCCCTGCCTAGAATCCCCCAGTGAGGGGTTGGGGGTGTGGCCCAGCAGCTAAGTGCTTTTCTGGCCCGCAGGAGACCCTGGCTTCAACCTCCAGTACTGTTAGGAGAAATAACCTTAGCCAGGCTACTGTTATATATCTATTATCCAACCACCAAGGAGGCTAAATCAAGAGTTTCCAGTTTATGGCCAGTCTAGGATACATGGTGACATACTCCCATAAAGAGAAAAAAGAAGGAAAAGCAGATTCATGTACCCAAGTTGTTCCAGAACTCTTTGGAGGTTTTCCAATAACCAAATTAAGTATCAGTTTTATTTTTAAAATTGAAATTAACTAAAATTAAATCAAAGCCACTCCACCCCAAAACAGCAGAACACACATTCTTCTCTAGTGTCCACGGAAACACTCCAAGACAGAGTGTGAACTGAATCTTCAAACAAGGCTCAGTAGATGTAAGGCAATTGCAATCGTACCAGATATGCCTTGTGACTCCCTGAGAATGAAATGAGAAATCAGTAAAGGGAGGGAGTGGGGGACCACATGAGACCAGGAACCAATAGACCCAGAGATGGTAAGTAATGGAAGAAGACATCAAAGGCTGAGGAGAAGGCTTGGTGGGTGAAGTACTTGCTGCCCAAGCCAGTGAGGGGCTGGGGGTGTGGCTCAGTGGTAGAGCCCCTGCCTAGAATCCCCCAGTGAGGAGCTGGGGGTGTGGTTCAGTGGTAGAACCCCTGCCTAGAATCCCCCAGTGAGGGGCTGGGGTGTGGCTCAGTGGTAGACCCCCTGCCTAGAATCCCCCAGTGAGGAGCTGGGGATTAATGGATCCCTGGAATTTACTAGTGAGCACACAGAATTGATGAGCTCCAGACTTGAAGAGACTCTGCCTCAAAATACAAATGAAGAGCTGAGCTTGGTGATGCCCCCTTTAATCTCCACACTTGGAAGGCAGAAGCAGGCAAATCTGTACAAGTCTGAGCCCAGCCTTGTCTACATACATGTGTTCCACACCAGCCAGAGCTATATAGTGAGACCCTGTCTCAAAAGTTAAGAGTGTGTACTGCTCTTGCAGAAAACCTCAGGTCAGTTTCTCAGCACAAATGTTTGGCAGCTTCACACCACCTGCAACTCCAGCGTGTGTTGTATATTATTTTAAGGTGTGTTACTTTTGTTTATGTTACATTTTGTTGAATTCTGTGAAGCTGTGTTACTGCTGTGCCTGTCTAAAACACCTGATGGTCTAATAAAGGACTGAATGGCCAATGGTAAGGCAGGAGAAAGGATAGGCAGGGCTGGCGGGCAGAGAGAATATATAGAAGGAGAAATCTGGAAGGAAAGGAAAAAGAGGAAGGAGCCAGAAAGGAGGAGGCCAGCCACCCAGCTACACAGCCAGCCACGGAGTAAGAGTAAGATTGACAGAAGTAAGAGAACGGGAAAAGCCCAGAAGCAAAAGGTAGACGGGATCATTTAAAGTTAAGGAAAGCTGGCAAGAAACAAGACAAGCTAAGGCCAGGAATTTATAATTAAGAAAAAGCCTCCATGTGTAATTTATTTGGGTGCTGAGTGGTGGGCCCCCCAAAAGAGCCAAAACAACCAACAACACCAGTACCTGGGGATCTGATACCCTCGTCTGGTCTCTGAAGGCACTGCACTAATGTGCACAAACCCACACAGACAGACAGACAGACACACATGCACGCACGCACGCACACATTCATTCTCCAGTTCCCTTACCACTTATTGGTGGCATGGGCACTTTAGATACAGAACAGGTGCTCAGTAAACCTTTGTGGGATGGACAGACTGACAGAGAAACCCTGTGCGTACCTTTCACCTGCCCACTGGCAACTCTTCAGTGACACCATGCCAGACTTAGTCCCACCCTCCAAGAGAATGTCTCCTTGTTTCTCTAGGAAGTTTGAGAACCTCTACATTGGCTGGGGTCACAAATACAGCCCTGAGAACTTCAACCCATCCCTGCCAGCTCCGATTCAGCAGGAGTACCCCAGCGGCCCTGAGATCATGGAGATGAGTGACCCCACGGTGGAGGAGGAGCAGGCCCTGAAGGCTGCACAGGAGCAGGCCCTGGCAGCCGCTGAGGAAGAGGAAGAGGATGAGGAGGAGGAGGAGGATGAAGACCTGGAGGACTGAGGTCACCAGGCTCTTTCCCACAGCCTTTCCCCTTAGTGGTAGTTACAGATTGCATTTTTTCTGTTGCTTTTGTTCCCTGCCCTTGCAGGACACGGGTAGGAAGGCACACAATGCTCCAAATAAACCCCCCACAGCACAGCCGCTAAGTTACATTCATTCATCATACTGGGCGGTTGACTCATTCATTCCTCTCCGTGTTTGCTTGTGCTTGTTTATTTCTTTATTTTTGGTTTCTCGAGACGGTTTCTCTGTGTAGCTCTGGCTGTCCTGGAACTGGCTCTGTAGACCAAGCTGTCCACAAACTCACAGAGTTCCGCCTGCCTCTGCCTCCCCAGTGCTGGGATTAAAGGTGTGTGCCACCGCCACCTGGCTTGTTTGTTTGTTTTTTTTTTTTTTTTTTTTTTTTTGGTTTTTCGAGACAGGGTTTCTCTGTGTAGCTTTGCGCCTTTTCCTGGAACTCACTTGGTAGCCCAGGCTGGCCTTGAACTCACAGAGATCCGCCTGGCTCTGCCTCCCGAGTGCTTGTTTGTTTGTTTTTAAAGGTTTGTTTTTATGTATGTGTCTGTGGGTGTCTGTGAATGTGTGTGCAGATGTCCTCAGAGGCCAGAAGAGGAGGGGTTCGGATACCATGTCTCCTTACTTACAGACAATTCTGAGCCCCCCTGATGTGGGGACTGGGAACTGAACTTGGGTCCTCCAGCCCCATTTGTTTTTTTTTTTTTTTTTTAAGTTTTGTTTATGGGGTGAGGGTGGGGGGAGGGAGCTGGAGAGATGGCTCAGTGGTTAAGAACATTGCCTACTCTTCCAGAAGACCTGAGTTCGAGTCCCAGCCCCCACATGGCGGTTCACACTCAGTCGGTTGAGTGCTTGCCCCCCCCCCAAATGGTGTCACACCAACCTGGAAGAGGTAGAGGCAAGGAAGGCCTGAGGTCTGTGGTTTTCTTCAGGTACAAAGTTAGGTGGAGGTCAGCCTGAGCTAAAGACCTTGTCTCACAAAATAAATAAATAAGTAAATAAGTTAAATATATAAATGGCAAAACAGAACCACTTTTTCTTCTGTTGAAGTGATAAAAATATAAAATACCTTGACAAAGGGCAACTTAGGGGAGAAAACACTATTTCCACTTGCAATTCCAGGTCCCTCATAGCAGGGAGGTCAAGGCAGGAACATCCCTAGTCAAGAGTAGAGAGAAGGAATGCATGTATGCTTGCTTGGTTGTGCTCAGTCATGTTTCAACTCTTATACAGTTCAGGACCCCCCTGCCTAGGGAATGGTGCCTCCCACAGTGGACTGGACCACATCAATTAAGACAGTTACCCACAGACATGCCTACTGGCCAACCCAATGTAGATAGACAGTGTAAGTATTGCAGCTAGGATGGAAAGGTATCCTGTCAGTCAGGAGTCAAGGAATACCATAAAGTCACTGTAAACACGGCAGCTTACAGCCCTGCTTCAGGGAAAGGCTTCCCTAACGCAAGTGTAACAACTCTGCTTGGGCAGAGGAGGATTTCCCCAGCTAGGTTGTTACAGCTCTACTCTGGTCTAGCAAAGTTGTTACAACTCTGCTCTGCTAGGGAAAAGTTTCCCCTAGCAAAAGTGTTACAGTTCTGCTTGCTCCAGGGAAAAGTGTCACACCACACAAGAAACCTCACTTGAGATTTATTGGGAAGGAAAAATCCAGGATGGCTGAATCTACGGTGAGGGTGAGAAGCAGCAGCAGGTACAGGGTTTATATAGAGTGGGGGGTGGGGCGCTTTTCCAGGGATCTCAGGGATTGGTGGGATTCTGCAGCCTGACTCTGGAGCAAGCTCAGAGATTGGTGGGATTCCAAGCTCTGATCCTGGGGTTAAGTCAGGGTCAGGGTGTTCTTTCTTCAGTCCTTTTATCCTATAGACAGTCTCTCATTGAGACTGCCTTCCATTTGATTCTAAGTAATGTCAAATCCACAAAGCTGACCATCATCATGAAAACAAAACCAAAAAAGGTGGGCAGAGTCACATAGGTCTCGGAGGGTCCCACTTGAGTCTCACGGCGGCAGGGGACCACAGGTCAATGAGGAAGGAAGGGCAGAGAAGTAAACCCTTGAGTCTAAAATGACACCAGGAAGTGGGTGCGGTGTTTCAGGCCTGAAATCCAAGCACTTATGGAGGCTGAGGCGAAAGGATTGGGTCAAGTTTGAGGACAGCCTGGGCTGCAAGTGGGGTACAAAACAAAGGTCAGTGAGTTGGCCCGCTGGGTCATGGCACTTACTGCCAAGCATGAGGACCTGATTCCCATGCCTAAGACCCACATGTTGGAAGGGGATTTGACATTGTGCTTGTCCACACAAAAATAGATAAACGCAGTCATTTTTAAAAAGCATTTATTTATTTATTTTATATGCATTGGTATTTTGCCTACATGTATGTCTGTGTGAGGGTATCGGGTCCCTTAGAACTGGTTACAGACAGTTGTGAGCTGCCATGTGTGTGCTGGGAAATGAACCCAGGTCCATTAAGAGCAGCCTTAACCTCTTAACTACTGAGTCATCTCTCCAGCCCCCGTCATTTTTTTTTAAATAATAATAATAAAGGCAAGAATCGCCTGGAGTCAGCTGTAACAACACGAGGATTCTGAATAGTGCTTGAGGTTGCTCCGTTGCTAGGCAAACGGCTCCCGGGGCGCTGTTGTTAGGGTCTAGGGCGTTCCTACCGGCCACGCCCCGTAGCCAACCGCTTGCCGGCGTCTGTCGCGGCGACCACGCCCACACCATGGCCCCGCCCACAGTCCCCGAACCGTTACCTCAGCAACCTTCGGCTCCGGGTGCCAATCGTAGAAGCGTCACCCGGACGACGACCCTACCCCTTCCGGCGCTGGGCCCGCAACTTCCGGCTGGGGGTCCTGCGGGCGGGCGGGCGGGCGGACGGGCGGCTGCGGCGGGGCCCGGTGGGCGGCCAAGATGGCGGCGGGCGGCGCGGAGGGCGGCGCGGGCCCCAGCGCCGCCATGGGCGACTGCGCTGAGATCAAGTCGCAGTTTCGCACTCGCGAGGGCTTCTACAAGCTGCTTCCCGGCGACGCGACGCGCAGGTCGGGTCCAGCCTCCGCCCAGACCCCGGCGCCGCCGCAGCCCCCTCAGCCCCCGCCCGGACCTGCCGCAGCCTCCGGGCCTGGCGCCGCGGGCCCCGCGCCGTCCCCGCCGCCCGCCGGGCCGGGCCCCGGGCCCGCGCTGCCCGCCGTCCGCCTCAGCCTGGTGCGCCTCGGTGAGCCCGATGGCGCCGGGGAGCCGCCCTCCACGCCCTCGGGACTGGGCGCCGGAGGAGACCGCGTCTGCTTCAACCTGGGCCGCGAGCTTTACTTCTACCCCGGCTGCTGCCGCCGCGGGAGCCAACGGGTGAGTGATCCGCGTCGTGGGGTGCCGAGAGCATCGGGGTCCCAAGAGTGGCAGCGGCAGCGGAGGTTGGGCATCCCAGGGGAGCCTGGTTCCTGGAGCTAATGGAGTCGAGAGGTTGCAGGGGAATCTTGCGCGCGTGTGTGTGTGTGTTTGCGGGGGGTGGTTCTTGGAGGTGGCGAGGGTGTGTTCCGGACCTGATGGAGCTTCTGAGTGGAGATGGGGCGGGGGTTCGCGGATTCCGCAGGTACAACAGGCGTTGTGCGGGCGATGGGGAATCCTAAGAGGATTGCAGGCCCAGGGGAGATGAAAGAACGGAGAAATACTGCATGCTTGGCGTGTTGGAGTGAGTCTTGAGACTTATCAAACCCAGGAGTGCCAGGCATTTGTAAGTGATGAGGTTGAGAGCCCTACAGGTAAAAGGCAGGGGGGACTGGAGGTGTAGTTTAGGGGTCGTCGAACAAAGCAGCAGGTGAGTGAGATCCTAAAGAATACGGTGTCTAAAGGGAGCGAGGCTTTGGAGGAAATGAAGGGAGTTTGGAGGAATGATGGGAGTTCTGAGTTGATGGGGTTCCTGGCAGGGGACATCCTCAGGTGTGGCAGGCATCTCTAAAGCAATTAGCCCCAGAAGGGTGAGAGAAAGAGAGAGAGAGAGAGAGAGAGAGAGAGAGAGAGAGAGAGAGAGAGAGAGAGAGGTGGGGATCCTGAGAGTCCAGGGGTGACTGTGTACCTAAAATATGAGGGACTGTGATGATTGATGTGTCTGAACTATGACAGCGATCCTGAAGTTTAGGGAGCCAAATAGAAAGAAATGAAGCTTCGGAGATGGCTCTGTGGATGAAGTGTGTGCTTTGAAAGCATGAGGACCTGAGTCTGGATCCTGGTCCCCCATGTTAAAGCTGTATGGTTGCAGTCCCAATCCAGGGAGCAGAGACAGAAGGATCCCTGGGGCTCACTGGCGGTCAGTCTAACTGAATTGTTGAGCTCCAGGTTCAGTGAGAGACCCTGTGTCAAATGTTAGATGGAAAGCCACAAAGACCCTAAATGTTGACCTCTGAACTCCCATCCACATGCATAATGCACACACATGCACACAGGCATATACTGCATGTACAGAAGAAAATGAGAGAAATCCTAGGAGACTGGAGCTTTTGAGTCCTTGGGTCTGGGGGGGTCTCTGACTATTGTGCTAAGTCCTGCTGGAGTTGTACTGTGATGGTGGCTGGGAAGACTGGGGGAGATAGCTCCAGGCCTTTGGGGACTCTGAACCCTGTGGCTGTCCCTAAATTACACCTTGAAAGGCTCTGTGGTCTTTATTGGATGGTGTGCATGTGAGCATGTGTGTGCTGCCCTTCTGGGTTTGAATCCCCTTCCGGTCTGTGGGTACCTGCCTCTTCCCACCCACCTCCCCACTTCCCCCCGAGGTTAACCCTGCTTCCTCTTGGTGGTTTCCCCCGACCTCAGCTTCCTCTTCCTTCCTCTCCCTGTTCTGACCCGTTAACTTGTCTTCTCCCACGGTTCAAGTCCATTGACCTCAACAAGCCCATCGACAAGCGGATCTACAAGGGGACCCAGCCCACCTGCCATGACTTCAACCAGTTCACGGCTGCCACAGAGACCATTTCCTTGCTGGTAGGCTTCTCTGCTGGCCAGGTGCAGTACCTGGACCTCATCAAGAAGGACACCAGCAAGCTATTCAATGAAGAGGTGATTAAGGATGGGAACTGCTGCTTCTCTTTTTCTGCTCACCCCTACACTGAGCTGCCTGGAAACAGAATAGACTTGAGAGGGGTAGGAGGAGGGAGAGCGAGTGACAGGCAGCTGCTGCTGCTGGCGCCACTGTGCTTGCAATGTCTTGGTCCTCTACTGTGCCAACCCTGTGTTGAAAGAAGCTTTACTTCTTAAGTTCATGGATGGATAAGGAAGTATGGTGCCCATCTCACAGATTAGAAGACTGAGGCTCATAGGCAGTTGGGACTTTCTTGATATTCTTGCTAACATCAAAGTCTGGGCTTTTCAGGCTTTGGACTCTAGTCCCTGCTGTATCATTGACTCACTGTGTGGTGTGGGGAAAGCGATTTATTCTCTGAGCCATAGTGTTCGTCTGCAAAGTGGGACTTGTGTCCCCTTCTCACAGGATTATATAAACTCATTCACAAGGGCTGCTCGGTTGGACTAGCTAGGCTGAAGAGGGAATGCCAGGAGATGACCTTAGCAAGCAGGCAGGCCGGGAGGGCCCCCCTGTTCTACTGTCTGGTCCAGGGGAGGTGGTCCACAAATGTTCTCCAGATGAGCAAATGGCCAGAGGGAGCGAGGAGGTGCTGCACCGTGGGTGCATTAAAATCCCAGACCAGTGACTCCTCCTGAGCAGGCCTCTCTCCACAACAGCCCAGCGAGCAGATGGAAGGCCCCAGCCACACTCAGAGGCTGGAGACAGGCTGCACAGGTCCATTGGATGTGCTGCATGCAGCCCTGGTCAGCCAGGAAGGCAGGGAAGGACATACAAGTAGAGAGAATGGGTTGGGCCTGGTAACACAGGTCTGTTATTGCAGCTCTTTGGGAGACTGAGGCAGGAGGATCAAAAGTTCAAGGTTGGCCTGGGCTCCATAGTAGAAGGAACAGCTTAGCTTAGCTAAACTCCCCGAGACAGGACAGCCATTGGGCTGTGTGGCCGGAGTAGCCGTTGAGGGAGAAAAGTCAGAAGATGCACACTGAGAAGGAACAGGAGGTGTGGCTTGGGTTGGCCTGGAAAGCTGTAGGAAGGACCTTGCCCTCCTTCCTCATCAACAGGAGCCAGCAGAGTAACCCTGCGTACCCTTTTGTGCCTCCGCCATCGGGCCGAGATGATTGGAGGGCTGGTGGCTTTCGCAGCCCTGGGTGGGACGCAGCTCGGTCCCGGGAGAAGTTGGGTCACCACAGTGCTGCCTCAAGCTGCAAGGCTTCAGGCAGGGCAGTGCCAAGGGCGTACTTGAATTTACTAATCCTGGCCACCGAGGAAGGGACAGCTATGAGTGCCTGAAGCCAGCGGGAGGCATTGTGGGTGGTGGCAGTGGGCCAGGGCGGTGGGCTGGGAGTTGAACTGGGTTGTGGGCACACTTGGCTCAGGGAGCCTACAGCTCCTGTTGGAAGACGAGACTTCAGTGTGGGAAAAGAGAGATGCCTGGAGGGATCTGACACGGGCGGCCGAGAGGGTGAGGTGCCTTCAGGTGCGCAGGGCATTGCTTGGGGCATGTCCTTTGGATGCTGTGCCAGCCGCTGGGACTGGTGATGGGGACCCTTTCTCGGGACTCTAGGGTTGAAGTTCTTGTCTTTAGGCTGACACTGAAGACAGCAATAATTAAGTGGCTAGAGGATAGCCCTTTGACAGGCAGGACTGTTCTGGTCAGAAGTGGGACGTGGAGGCACCACAGAGCTCCTCTCAGGCAGCTCTTCTTTCCCGTGTCCCTGTGACATCCTGCCATTGTCTCAGTCAGTGGAGGAGCTGGGGTCCAACAGAAGTGATCACCACCTCCCAACCCCACCCTGTCATTCCCTTTGCAGCGGCTCATTGACAAGACCAAGGTGACATATCTGAAGTGGCTGCCTGAGTCAGAGAGTCTGTTCCTCGCTTCTCACGCCAGTGGCCACCTGTACCTCTACAATGTCAGCCACCCCTGCGCCTCCACCCCACCGCAGTATAGCCTGCTGAAACAGGGTGAGGGCTTTGCTGTCTATGCAGCCAAGAGCAAGGCGCCCCGCAATCCACTGGCCAAGTGGGCGGTGGGTGAGGGGCCCCTCAATGAGTTTGCATTCTCACCCGATGGCCGACACCTAGCCTGCGTCAGCCAGGATGGCTGCCTGCGTGTCTTCCACTTTGACAGCATGCTTCTGCGTGGGCTCATGAAGAGCTACTTTGGGGGTCTGCTCTGTGTGTGCTGGAGCCCTGATGGCCGCTATGTGGTGACGGGAGGGGAAGATGACCTGGTTACCGTGTGGTCCTTCACGGAGGGTCGTGTGGTGGCTCGAGGCCATGGCCACAAGTCCTGGGTCAACGCTGTGGCCTTCGATCCCTACACCACTCGGGCAGAGGAGGCAGCATCAGCCAGTGGTGATGGGGATCCCAGTGGTGAGGAGGAGGAGCCTGAAGCCACCAGCTCAGACACGGGACCCCCACTGTCCCCACTGCCCAAGGCTGGCTCCATCACCTACCGCTTTGGCTCAGCTGGCCAGGACACACAGTTCTGCCTGTGGGACCTCACAGAGGACGTGCTCTCTCCTCATCCCTCTCTGGCCCGTACCCGCACCCTTCCAGGCACACCGGGGGCCACCCCGCCAGCCTCTGGTAGCTCTCGGGCCGGAGAGACAGGCAGCACAGGCCCCCTGCCCCGCTCCCTGTCCCGCTCCAACAGCCTCCCTCACCCGGCTGGCGGTGGTAAGGCCGGTGGGCCCAGTGCAGCAGTGGAGCCTGGCACACCGTTCAGCATCGGCCGCTTCGCCACGCTGACCCTGCAGGAGCGGCGGGACCGAGGGGCTGAAAAGGAACACAAGCGCTACCACAGCCTGGGAAACATCAGCCGTGGGGGCAGTGGGGGCAGCAGCAGCAACAATGACAAGCTGAGTGGCCCTGCCCCCCGCAGCCGCTTGGACCCAGCCAAGGTGCTGGGCACGGCACTGTGCCCTCGCATCCACGAGGTCCCGCTGCTGGAGCCCCTCGTGTGCAAGAAGATCGCTCAGGAGCGCCTGACCGTGCTACTGTTCCTGGAGGACTGTATCATCACTGCCTGCCAAGAGGGCCTCATCTGCACCTGGGCTCGGCCAGGCAAGGCGGTGAGTCCACCTGGCCTGGGGCAGGACCCCAGGGCTCAGGGGCATCAGGATGGTTCCTGCCTGTCTGAGTGACAGGCCTCCCGGCACCAGTCAGCAGAGAGGTCAGGTGTAGGAGAGAGAATGGAGGGCCACAGCCAACCATCCGAAGGGCCTCTGATGGCCACGTGGTCACCTTAGCACTTAACACTCAGGCAGAACCTGCTTTTGTGGAAAATCTGCATTTTAAATGGTGAAGCTTTAGTTTGGGGCTGACACTCTCGGAATGAGATTGAGCTGAGGGCCTGGCTTCCGGCCTGCCTCTTAGACACTCCATTTCTGAGCCAGCTGCTAAAGGCTTGAATGGGAATCGTCAGGGCCCAGGCCTGCACTTGTGTGTGGTGTGTGGTCCTGGTCACTGCATCTTGCAGATGGGCTGTGCGGTGGCTGTGGTCTCAGTCAGTGAGATGAAAGCTTGGCCCTGGTCAGGCGGCGGCTGGTCCGTCCAGGTTCTGAGCATGTGAGCTCAGCTTCTGGGGCCCCACACTGCCTTCAGTCCCTCAGATCCTCCTGTGGAAGGTTAGAGTCCAGAAGCAGCATTCAGAGCAGCCTCAGAGCGAAGGCAGGATGGTAGGGCTTGGGAAGTCTGAATTCTCAAAGAAACTCCTCTGTCTCCCTAGTTTACAGACGAGGAGACCGAGGCCCAGGCAGGGGAAGCAAGTTGGCCCAGGTCACCCAGCAAGTCAGTGGTAGAGGTAGGACCAACCCCCAAGCTGGAAGTGGGCCCGTTCTCTTCTCCACTGTCCCTGTCTTGTCCGCCCTGGATCACCTGGGGCCATTAATTACTGTAAAAGTGCTACCCTGGGGCAGGGAAGACTGCTGAGCAGTTGGTTCCTAGCCAGGACGGCAGCTTTGGACTGGGGGGCCAGGGGACCTAGCTGGGGCAGAAGCAACTGTGAAGCCTTTGGGTGGCTCCCCGCTCCCCGCTCCAAGCACTAGCAAAAGCCCGGGTGTTGTCTAATCCAACCTCCCTCTCACCCTCCCCAGGGCATCTCCTCCCAACCAGGCAGCTCCCCCAGTGGCACTGTGGTGTGAAGCCGAGGATGTCCTGTGCCCCCAGCCTCCTAGCCATAACCCTCCCTGCTGACCTCGAGGATCACTGTATTAACAAGACTAATCATGATGGAAGGACTTCTCCGAGCCCCTACCCTGCACAAATACTGGGGATCCCCTACACTGGCCCAGCCATGGGGATGTAGCGGCCTGTGTGGCCTCAGCCCTGGCCTCCACCTACTGCCAAGTACAATGACCTGTCCTCTGAAATATCAGTGTTAACACAATTCCCTGTCCCGGCATGTGACTGGTCACTCCTGGGAGAGACTCCACCCACAACAACCCAGCTCCACAGTGCCCCTGGGTTAGAGGGCTGGCAGGGGGGTGTCCCCCCTCCCAGCCCATACCCCATCCCTTGCTATGGTTTGTGCTTTTGAAGAGTGTTAAATTATGGAAGCCCCCAGGGCCCTCCTTGTCCCCCTGGACCTCTTATTTATACTAAAGTCCTTGTTTGCACTGCGTCTCTGTTCCCTGGGGCGTGTGTGTGTGTGTCTGTGTGTCTGTGTGTCTGTGTCTGTGTGTGTGTGTCCCTGTCCGTCCTGCGGGCTGTGCTCTGACCAAAAGAAAGCCAATCCACACTGTCTCCCCTGCCCCAGCCCTGAGCAGAGCCCTCTGGAAGAAGAGCCCCTGACCCCTAGAGTCAAGAGGCTGAGGCGGCCCCTTCCTGCTAGATCCTTGGGGGGTGTTCGAAACTTGTTTTAAAGCACCAGGACTACCCAGGCCTGCTCTTGTGGGAGGAGGGGAGGATGCTGGGAATTGAGCTGCGCCACCTCTTCTGGACATGCCTTTGCAGCCTGGTGCCCCTGGCCCATCTGTGGCTGGTCCATGAAGTGCCAGCTAGAGGCCGTGATTTCCTCCCCAGAGAACTGGCCACTGTAGAAAGACTAACATGTCTCCTGGCTGGCTGTCCAGGTGACTCCACCCCCAACCCCCAAAATGTTTCTGTCTCTAATCCTAGCCCAGGCAGGAATGTGGCTGCCCCGGCCTGTGGCCAAGGAGCTATTTTTGGGGTCTCTCTCACTTGGGGAGGGCCTGGCTCCACCACTTGCCTCCCCCAGGCTTGGGCCAGCAGGTCACTCCTGGCCCTGGTGGCTGGATACGTTCCCTCCTGATCTCCCTTCCACCTCCTGCCAAAAAAGGGGGGGTGTGTAATACAGCAGGCACAGGGACTAAATTTAACTGTCCCAAAGTCGGAATCCATTGCTGAGTCACGAAGAAGCTGCCCCTGGCCTCTGCCCCCCTCCCCTGTGGGCCCAGGCATCAGCCCCTTTCCCCACCCCTCCCAGCTCTGAGCCTAGACTGGCCCTTCTGGGCACTGACACCTCACACCTGTAACTCCCTGTGCTGAGTGGGTAGGGGCTTTTCGGGGGCATCTCTGGAGTACTACTCTGTCCCTTGACATTGGGCTTTGAGTTTTGAGGGGCCCCGAGAGAAGGGAGTTGGGGTGTTGGCTCAGGAGGGGTTAAGGCTGGGAGGCGGGAGGGGGGCTGGGCCAAGGGGTGGGGAAAGAGGAGGAGGCCTGAGCCATAGAACTGGCCAGAGGGACCCAAGGGATAGTCGGAGACAGACAGACATGCAGTCAGGGTTCTGGGGCCTGGACAGGGGCAGCCAGGCCCCGTGACAGGAAGACCCCGAGCTCCGGCCCGGGGAGGGGCCATGGTGCTGCCTGCCCACCATGTCAGCCGAGGTACGGCTGAGGCAGCTCCAACAGCTGGTGCTGGACCCCAGCTTCCTGGGGCTGGAGCCCCTGCTCGACCTTCTCCTGGGCGTCCACCAGGAGCTGGGCGCCTCCCACCTAGCCCAGGACAAGTATGTGGCCGACTTCTTGCAGTGGGGTGAGTATGGGCAGGAGGCCTGGGGTGGGGGGCAAGGCAGAGGTGGGTCTACAGGGCAGGAACTGGCTGTGGAGGGCAGGAGAAGCTTCCTGCAGGGACCCAAGCAGAGTTCAGGCCTTGACCCCAGGCTCCCAGGTGGGGCAGACTAGGTCAGTGGAGGCCAGCCATGACTCAGCCAGTGCAGGCTGGGGTGGGCACAGCCTGCTGCCTTGTCTGCACCCACACAGGGGCCTGGCAGCTTTCTCTTCCAGGACCCTCACCCTCCAAAATGAGCCTTATAGCCCTCCCTGGTTTCCCAGAGTGTGGGGAGGGGCGGCGTGGGGCAGCTGCCAGGGTGTGGCCTGTAGGCAGGTGTTTGGCGTCTGCCTCCCCAGCTGCCCTGACAGGTGTCCGGGAACTATGAGGGCACAGTGACTCACAGAGGCCCTAGGGGAGAGCCAGCCCGGCAGACAGGCGCCACCCAGCACCCCTTCTGTCCCCCCAAATTAGGGAGGAACAACTTCAGCTTCTGAGTGCCCATCCCTAGCATCTTGGTCCCTCCTAGACCCTGTGGCCCAGATTGGGTATCTTACTTGGCTTCCCACCTGCTTTCGTGGTCCTAGCGCAAGGCCTCTAGTTGACTTAAATGCCCTTCTCCAAAGGTCTTCTCTGGCCTAGTGGATGGGCCTGGACCTTATCTGCTCCTGCCCACATCCAGCCCAAAGCTCAGGCTTAACCCAGCTTCCTTACAAATAACACTATTGTGTTGCCCTGTGCCTGTCATTAAGGGTTCTGTTCTTGGTCCTTGACCTGTATGCCCATGTCTGTGACCCCAGCTCATTCTCCCCTCCTCCCCCATTTTACAGATGGAAAGGTAGAGGCCATGGGCTAGGCCACTAAGTTTGTGGAGGACTTTTCTCCTCTGCGGCCCTCAGTGGCTCCTTCAACCTCCCTTTTGCAGAGGATGGGGCTGGGCTGGCAGGGTAAACTGAGAACTGGAGTGGGGGTGGGGGTCTGGTCCTCTCGGAGCAGTCCTTTTGTGGCCCGAGCAGCATCCCGTGGGCCCCTCCCCTGCCAGGCCTGGGCGGGGGAGGGGGCCTGGGTTCCCGCTGCCTTAAAAGGGCTCAATGCCTTGGCTCTCTCCTCCCAACCCCCCCCCCCCAGGCTTGGCTGTGTCTTCTCCAGCGGCCCACTTTCCCGAACCCCTCTCTTCTCCATCACCCACCACCTCCCTCTTCCCCACACTCAGTCCTCCTCTGTCCTTATTGCCAGTCCTGACTTTCCCCAAGGGAGACCTGGCCTTCCTCTGCCCCCTGCCCCCAAGTCGTCAGCCCCTGACCTAGCTGCCCTCTCCTCCTGCTGCAGCACCCTAGCACAGGACCTTACCCTGCAGCTTTGGCTGTAAGAAGGCTCTCCTGCCCCTTGGAGACCAAGGATGCTTCCAGCAGTGTCCAGGACCTGGGGGCTGTGACCCTCCCTCCTCCAGGCTCCACACTCGGTGTTTCCCAAGTGCAGTCCTCGTGCTGGCTGCTAGACGCCGCTGCCTGTTGAGGCCATGGCCCAGGACATTAGATGAGGTCTCAGGGCCTGACTGAGCACCCTAATCTTCACGTGGAGTGGGAGTGGGGAGGGCTTATGTTCGGGCTTCCCTTGCCACTCTGCAGCCCTGTGGAAACAGTCAGTTCTGGGTCCCCCAAACAAGGCAGAGGCTTTGGAAGCAGAATCCTAAAATCATCCTGAGGGGCAGGGGAAAGACGAGGCTGAGGGCACCACCATTGCCTCTAGTGTTGTAGTGACCTCTGACTCTTCCTCCCTCCACCCCCACCCAGTGGAGCCCATTGCAGCAAGGCTTAAGGAGGTCCGACTGCAGAGGGATGACTTTGAGATTCTGAAGGTGATCGGGCGCGGGGCATTCAGTGAGGTGAGTCTTGAGAGCCTGAGAGTGGAACTTTACTTGAGGTGGGTGGGGCATAGCAGCTGGGGCAGAGCCTTAGAAATTGATGAATGAGCTTGAACCTAAGGCCGAGGCGGGGCTTGAGTGCAGTCAGTGGGTGGTGTGTGCGTGGGGGCGTGGCTAAGGCCGGGTGGCGATGAGGTGGAGCCCCGCCTGGGTGAGCCCCGCCTGGGTGAGCCCCGCCTGGGTGAGCCCCGCCTGGGTGAGCCTTCCTGTTTTCCCTGCTGCGTCTGCTGTCATCCGGTCCCGCCTTTAGGTAGCGGTGGTGAAGATGAAACAGACGGGCCAGGTGTATGCCATGAAGATTATGAATAAGTGGGACATGCTGAAGAGAGGCGAGGTGAGGGCGGGCCAGGGCTGGGGGAGGCACCCTCGTCTCTCCAGCTCACTTTCTGCAGCGTCTCCCCTACCTCACAGGTGTCATGCTTCCGGGAAGAAAGGGACGTGTTGGTGAAGGGGGACCGGCGCTGGATCACGCAGCTGCACTTCGCCTTCCAGGATGAGAACTACCTGGTGAGCTCCGGGCTGGGTGACCAGGCAGGAGTGACAGATACACCACCTTAAGTCAAGGAAGCTGGAGTAGGGAGAGGCAGCCTAGGCTGGGGGCCCGGCTAGGACCGTCTCAGGTAGAGGAGGGATCTTCCTTGAGAAAAGAGGTGATGTCTGGTTTGGCCTTCGGATCTCTGGGGTGCTCTCTCACACTGGAGGGCTCTATGCTTGGGGACGGGGTGTCTCTGGGAGTCTTGGGGGCTACCGACCCCCTGTGACATGCCCGCTCTCAGTACCTGGTCATGGAATACTACGTGGGCGGGGACCTGCTAACGCTGCTGAGCAAGTTTGGGGAGCGGATCCCTGTCGAGATGGCGCGCTTCTACCTGGCCGAGATTGTCATGGCCATAGACTCGGTGCACCGGCTGGGCTACGTGCACAGGTGGGCGCGGCAGGGCCCTTGGAGGGTTAGCAGAGTTTGTGTGGGAAGGAAGGGCACCTTAAGGTCCGATCCCGTTGGGGGCAGGAATGTGGTCCAGAACTATAGAATCCCTGCTGGGGTGGAACTGGACCGAGCCTGGTGGGACCCAGGAAGGACGTCTTTCAAGCATCCTTCCCTCTTCTCTCTGTGCACAGGGACATCAAACCAGATAACATTCTGCTGGACCGGTGTGGGCACATCCGTCTGGCCGACTTTGGCTCCTGCCTCAAACTGCAGCCTGACGGAACGGTATGGTGGGAAGGGCCTGGCGAAACTCTCCCCACCAGTCGGGGACCAGAAGATGCAGAGGGCGGGGCTGGGATGAAGAGCAGAGCTTGGGCAGGGGCGAGGGCCGGATGGGATGTAGAGCATAAAAGGAGCTGGGCTGGGGACGCCCTATCTCCCGATTGGACAGTCGCGAAGGGTCTAAGTATTCAGGTCTGGTTGGCACAGGTGAGGTCACTGGTGGCCGTGGGCACCCCGGACTACCTGTCTCCTGAGATTCTGCAGGCTGTGGGCGGAGGGCCTGGGGCAGGCAGCTATGGACCCGAGTGTGACTGGTGGGCGCTGGGCGTGTTCGCCTACGAAATGTTCTACGGGCAGACACCCTTCTACGCTGACTCCACAGCCGAGACATATGCCAAGATCGTGCATTACAAGGTGAGCGTGGGCGCCACGCGGGGTGCCTGGCTTGCTGGCACATGCTCCCAGGCTGACGTTTTTTTCTTTTTTGAAGATATTTATATGTGTATGTGTGTATAAGCGTTTATTCCGCATGTACGTCTGTGCACTATGTGAATGCCCATGAATGAATGCACTGTGTGATCCCCTGGAACTGGAGTCACACAGACTTGTGAGCTGCCATGTGGGTGCTGGGAAACAGAACCTTGATTTCTCTGCAGGAGCAGCCAGTGCTCTTCACCACTGAGCCAGGACTTACTCTTGCTTTTCTCTGCTTTCTGAACAGGAACACTTGTCTCTGCCTCTGGCAGACACGGGTGTCCCCGAGGAAGTTCAAGATCTCATTCGGGGGTTGCTATGCCCTGCTGAGATAAGGCTAGGCCGAGGTGGGGCAGGTGATTTCCAGAAGCATCCTTTCTTCTGTGGCCTTGATTGGGAGGGTCTCCGAGACAGTGTACCCCCCTTTACACCAGACTTCGAGGGTGCCACGGATACCTGCAACTTTGATGTGGTGGAGGACCGGCTCACTGCCATGGTGAGCGGGGGCGGGGTACGTACCTGTGTCTCCTGAGTGGTTGAGGGAACCTCCCTAACCCCCTCCAGAACATTGGGGTGATTGGCTCGATGTGATGGTGCACACCTCCAAGCCCAGGGCTTCAGAGGTCAGAGATGGGTGCATCTCCAGTGGAGGGTCAAAGCCAGCCAGTCAGGGCTGTAGAGTGAGACCCTCCCTTGAAAACTGAAAAAATGGATGATGACCTTCTTGGGTCCCAAATTTTTATTCTAGAGCACTCAGGCTTGAGGACACACAAGTGACCAGTTCTCAAGACAGTGAGGTCTTCCTGTTGGCAAGGCTAAAATGGAGTGCAGGCCTGGGCTCTGGAAGGTGCTGGAGGGCTTGTTGGAGGGGACTGAGCTGAGACCCAGAAGGATGCTGGGAGAGGCAGGAGATCCTTTCTCAGGAGAGTGCTCTCTTAGCATTTAACCGGCTCTAGGTCCTGCCTTGGCCCACTGGCAGTGGAGGAAAGTGTGGTGTGGGCAGAGCCCCGACCAGAAGCCACAAGAGAGAAGAGAAAGGGATGGAGGGACACCCTAGTTCCTAGGGTTGGTTTAGTGGGGACAGTTATGATATGATCAGAGGAGTGAGGGGCCGTCCCTGACAACTGCTGGCCACAGCCCTGCACCTCTTCCACAGGAGACCCTGTCGGACATACAGGAAGACATGCCACTTGGGGTCCACCTGCCTTTCGTGGGTTACTCCTACTCTTGCATGGCCCTCAGGTAAGCGTGACTGCCCGCTGGCTACTGTGTGTACGCAGGCTCACTTCAGTCCGTCAGTTCAAAGGATCAGTCTTGGGACCAAGGATTCTGAGGAACTGTCTTAGTTAGGGTCTCTGTTGCTGTGATGAAACACCATGATCAAGAACAGATTGGGGAGGAAAGGGTTCATTTAGCTTACACTTCCATATCATAGTCCATCATTGAAGGAAGTCAGGACAGAAACTCAAAACAGGGCAGGAACCTGGAGGCAGGAGCTGATGCAGATGTAGGGGTCATGGAAGAGTGCTACTTGCTTGCTTGTTCCTCATGGCTTTTTCAGCCTGCTTTTTTATAGAACCCAGGAACACCAACCCAGGCATGGCTCCACCAACAGTGGGCTGGGCCCTCCCACCAATGACTAATTAAGATAATGCCCTATAGGCTTGCCTGAAGCCTGATGTTTTTAGGTAGGTGGTTTTTTTCTTGTTTGTTTCTTTTTTTGTTTTGTTTTTATTTTGTTTTGTTTTTTTTCCCCCGGTTTTTCCGAGACAGGGTTTCTCTGTGTAGTTTTGGTGCCTGTCCTGGATCTCACTCTGTAGACCAGACAGGCCTCGAACTCACAGAGATCCGCCTGGCTCTGCCTCCTGAGTGCTGGGATAAAAGGCGTGCGCCACCACCACCTGGCATGTTTTTTTTTTGTTGTTGTTTTTTTGAGACAGTGTTTCTCTGTGTAGTTTTGGTGCCTGTCCTGGCTCTGCCTCCCGAGTGCCAGGATTAAAGGCGTGCATCACCACCGCCCGCCATAACCCAAGAATCTTACACTCAGCCTTCCCGAATCCCCCAGCTATTGACTTTCATGTTTTAGGACATGTCATAGGACCCAGGCTCTTAGAAAACAGGCCTGGAATTCGACATTTTAAGAACACAAACTCATTGAAGCATATAACAATAAAACAACTTTTAAGTTTTTAAAAGTTCTTTGTCTTGTTTTCTGAGGCAGGATCTTGTTCATCCAGCCTAAGCTGGTCTTAGAGTGTTGTGATTATGGGCATGTACCACCATGCCTAGTCAGTAAAGCCTTTTGAAAGCATCCATGATGCTGGATGTGGTGGCACAAACCTATAATCTCTGCACCTAGGAGGTAGACGCAGGAGGATCAGAAGTTCAAGACCATCCTGGGCTATATAGTGAGTCTAAGACCAACCTGGGCTACAAGGGACTCTGTCTCAAGAGACAAAAGATAGACAGATAGCCACTGTTGCTAGGCAGGGTGGCTTACCGTCTAACCCCACCGTCAAAGAGGCCAGCCTGATGAACCAGAGTGAAAACTTGTCTCAAAACACCAAAAATAAAAAAAATTCATTATTGGTCAGGCATGTGGTGGCACACACACCTGCAGTCCCAGTACTGGGGGAGTGGAGGCAGGAGGATCGCAAGTTCAAGGCCAGCCTGGGGTACATAGTAAGCCCTTAGTCTCAGAAAACAAAAAGAGAAACCAATTATTCAAGTAAGACAGTGCTTCCAGGGCTGGGACATGGCCCAGTACAGGAGAGCGTCCCAGCACTGGGGCTGCACCTGCAGCTGGGCTGACAGAGTGCTTGGCTGGCATGCACGGGGGCCGGGCTTCGACCTCAGCACTGTGGAAAGTATGCATGGTGCCTTCACCTGTCATCCCAGCACCAGGGAGGTAAGGACAGGAGGATCGAAAGTTCATGGTCGTTAGCTAGAGCAAGTTCCAGGCCAGCCTGAGCTACATGGTGAGTTTCAGGACAGCCAGGGCTATGCAGAGAAACCCGTCTGAACAACAAAGAGAACTTGCCTAGCATGTATGAGGTCCTGGGCTTAATCCCCGTTGCCACAAAATGTTCAGTGACTGAATGGCCCTCTTCTCAGGAGTAAACACCTCCTATACAAGGAAGCTTGCTCACCATCAGCCATGCCCCAGACCTGCACAGTCCTGATCTGCAAGCAGCATCCCATGCTGCTTAGAACAGGTTGGGACACAGCCCACCCTCTGTAGAGCCATACCGCTCAGCGCGTCGGCCAAGAGGCCGAGGCCCTGTCAGCAGGGGCTTTGCTAGGCAGAGGGGGGCTTTGGACCAGCCCTAGCAGTCTGCTCTCTTCACTGTGCCCCGTTCCTCCTTAAGCCATGGGTCCTTAGGAGCCTGGCCTGGTGCCCACAGGCTAGGAAGCCCCAGATCCCTGTTTGGTAGCCTCTTCCTCTTCTCAGAGACAGTGAGGTCCTGGACCCCACCCCTATGGAATTGGAGGCCCTGCAGTTGCCTGAGGCAGACTTGCAAGTGCTCAACTTGGAGCCCCCAGTGCCCCCACCGGATCAAGTGGTGAGTAGTCAGGAGAGCCTGATGAAGAACGAGCAGAGAGAGGGGCAGAGCTTGCTGGGTGGGGCCACCTGCCGTACCAAGCTGGCCGTTAGCTGCCAGGCTGCTGCTTCAGTAAGACCCAGCAGCCCCTGTCGTCCCAGCTACTCAGGAGGAACAGGCAGAAGGATCGCAAAGTCAAGTCTTGCTTGGGCTATACAATGAGACCCTGTCTTCCAGTAAAAACGAGAGCTAGGGAATATACAGCTCAGAGGCAGATGCTCTCCTGGCATGGGTCTGAAAGCAACACCAACCAGGGCTGGGAGGGAAGGAGGGAGGGACTGCTGACCACCTGGAGGAGGCTGAGTTAGGGGTCCTTGTGGTTAGTCGGAAGAACAAGGTTGGAGCCCACCAGGTGGGATACTGGGTTCTTAAAAGCTACAGGTGGGTGGGTGGCATGGGGGGGCGGTTGTAGACAGCAGGCCACACACAAACTGGGGAGGTCTGTGGGTAAAGCCAGGTGTGTCTGAAGCACGTGAACTGGGAGGGACATACTCGAGTTCTGAAGCCAGCCCTTCAGTTCCTGGGTTGACTCCCAGACGCTCCTAGGATACCAGAGACTAGGCGGGTGTGTGCGTGCGCGCGGACTGAGCCCAGTGCTGGTCCCAAGCTCAATCCCCACCTGCAGGCCGAAGGGCCCGACCCAGCGGCTGTCCCCGCCGCCGCCGCAGCAGCAGCAGCAAAGGCGGAGACCGTGGTGACGCTGCGGGAACTCCAGGAAGCCCTGGAGGAGGAGGTTCTCACCCGGCAAAGCCTGAGCCGCGAGCTGGAGGCTATCCGCACTGCCAACCAGAACTTCTCCAGGTCGGGGTCGAGGTGCGGGGGCCCAGCAACCTTCGCAGTCCCTCACCCTGTGGACTGGCTTACCTTCCTATCTTCATGCAGCCAACTGCAGGAAGCCGAGGTCCGGAACCGAGACCTGGAGGCTCACGTTCGGCAGCTACAGGAGCGGATGGAGATGCTGCAGGCCCCGGGAGCCGCAGGCGAGTCCCTCACCCACCCTGGGCCAGGAGGGCGCTGGGTGAAGATGGGGGCGTGCTGGGTGTGTGGACACTTGGAGCAGGGGAGGGGCCCAGGCTGGGGCACGCCGAGCCACCGCCCTCCTCCGCCCTCCACGCTCCATACACCTCTCTTCTCCTTCCAGCTGTCATGGGGGTCCCCAGTCCCTGGGCCACGGATCCACCTTCCCATGTAAGACCCCTATCTTCCCCACCCCCGCTCAAATTTGCTACCCACAGCCCATTTCCCCGTCCACATTTAGGGCTCGCTCTCCTTGGGGGCTCTAGAAGGAAGACGCCCTTCACTCAGCCTGCATCTCCCAGTTCTCCCTCCCTCGTTTCAGGCCCTTTGCCAAATCCTCCCCGAAGGAACTTCCTAGGTTCCCATTCTGGCCTTGACTCCCTGGGCTCCCTCTTGCCCTGCTGCTAAGGGCGTCCAGGCCGGGCTGGGCTCCGATTGGGTCACCTGTCCCTTCTCTCTCCAGCTAGATGGCCCCCCGGCCGTGGCTCTGGGCCAATGCCCGCTGGTGGGGCCAGGCCCCATGCACCGCCGTCACCTGCTGCTCCCTGCCAGGGTATGTCCCAAGTCCGCCCACCTCGGGCCTCCGGCTCGCTCCGCCCACTGAGTGTCACCACCGCTTTGCTGTGCCTCCGTGGAGCTCGGCCCACCGCAGGGAGGGAGGGTGATCGCGCAGCCAATCCACACAGGCCGCTACGAAGTAGCCAATGATGAGTTCTGATGGGAACTCAGGTTTGCGAGCTGACAAACTGTAGCTTCGGGCTGTGGGAATCAGGGACACGCTCAGAGGACTCTTGGCCCATCTATGGGTACAGGCCGGGCGGCTCCCTGGAGCCAGTGGGCCCCTGTGGCCTGTTGCTAATCCTGCCCTCTTGCCTGCAGGTCCCTAGGCCTGGCCTATCCGAGGCGCGTTGCCTGCTCCTGTTCGCCGCTGCTCTGGCTGCTGCCGCCACACTGGGCTGCACTGGGTTGGTGGCCTATACCCCAGTCTGGTGTTTCCCGGGAGCCACCTTCGCCCCCTGATCCCTAGGACTCCAAGCCGTCTTTCATCTAGGCCCCCTTAGAAAGCCGTGTGACCTAGGACGGCCCAGAATGTCTCTGTGCCATCCCTGCTTCTCACCCAGCCCCCCACCCCCCCATTCCTCACTTCTGCGAGCCCGGTTCCCACCCGGCTCCACGCCTGTGATCCAGGCCCGCCCCCCGGCGGCCGGGGAGGGAGGAGCAGGACCCGTTCGCAGGAACCCGGTTTCTGCAGGGCTGGCGGCTTGAACGCTGCCGCTGCTGCCGGGGCATTCGCCGACCACCCTTTACTCAGCCCCGACGTGGATGGGCAAACTGCTCAGCCCATCCGATTTCACTTCTCACGCCTCCAGATATCGGTCACAAACCATAAGTCCTTGTGCATGAGCCCCTGATCTCTAGGGGACGTCCCGTTCTCACAGCAGACGATCAGCAGGACCTCTACCAGCTCTCGTGAAAGCCTTTGGCTTCGGACAGCTCCGCTCCTGGGGGTTGCTGCGACCCCTTCCTCACATACAGCCACGGCTGCAATGCCCCCCCCGCCCCGCCCCAAGGCAGTTTGGGTATTTATTGACCTTGTCCTCTGACTCACTGACAGACTCCGGGACCCACGTTTTGGATGCATTGAGACTCGACATTCCTCGGTATTTATTGTCTGTCCCCACCGACAACCCACCCCGGACCCTTGCGAATAAAATACTTTCTGGTCTGCTCTAAGCGAAGTGTCTCTGTTGTGGGGAGGAAGCCTCCGGGGGGCCAATGGAGAGCCCAGTAGAGACAACCAATGGCCTGCCCGGAGCTAGTGGGACGCAAAGGGAACGGGTCGGCCTGAAGGGCGGAGTCCAGGCATCCAGCCAGTAGGAGAGGAGCACCAAGCCACCCGAGACACCGCCCCCCCCGCCCAGCTGTGACCCAGCTGTGCTACTCAAGCTTGAAAAAGTAGGGGGTTGGGCCGGCAGGGCTCCCACCGCGCCTGCGCAAGCCACGCGCATCCGCTCCTAGGACAGAAGCATCAGAAAAGTTGCTGCAAACTTTCTAGCCCGTTTCTCCCGCCCCTCCTCCCAGCCAGACCCGCCCCCTCCCCGCGGGGCCGGGAATTCCGAGGGGCGGAGCGCGGCGCGGAGATGGGGACGGAGGGGGGCCTTCAAGGGACCCGGGAGATCGAAGCGGCTTCGCGCCCTAAACCTTCCTGGACGATCCACTACCTTCTCCGTTGCCCTGATGGGGAAACTGAGGCCCTGAGCCAGAGGCACACGCAGGGGGAGGCAGAAAGCGCGGCCAGAGGCTGAGGGAAAACAAAGAATCCTGACAGCCGGGGAGGGGGGCGGACACACAGACACAGGGACAGACCCGAGTGCAGAGCTGAGTCTAGCCTTTGGGCCAGGAGGGGGCCAGAAGACGGCGAGGGGACCGGGACGGGGGCGGGGGGCCGAGGAGGGCTGGGCGGGAGAGGGGGCCGGGGAAGCCCGAAGGAGGCGGCCGAGGAGGGAGGAACTTCCCAAAGTTGCCAAACATGGCTACCTCGCCTGCAGAGCCGAGCGCGGGGCCGACGGCCGGGGGGGAGGCAGCGGCGGCCACCGAGGAGGAGGAGGAGGAAGCGCGCCAGCTTCTGCAGACTCTGCAGGCGGCCGAGGGGGAGGCGGCGGCGGCGGCGGCCGGGGCCGGCGAGGCGGCGGCGGATTCCGGGTCCCCGAGCGGCCCGGGGTCTCCCCCCGAGACCGCGGCCGAGGCGCCCACGGGCCTCCGCTTCTCGCCCGAGCAGGTGGCGTGCGTGTGCGAGGCGCTGCTGCAGGCTGGCCACGCCGGTCGCTTGAGCCGCTTCCTGGGCGCGCTGCCCCCGGCCGAGCGCCTACGTGGCAGCGATCCGGTGCTGCGCGCGAGGGCCCTAGTGGCCTTCCAGCGGGGTGAATACGCCGAGCTCTACCGGCTCCTCGAGAGCCGCCCTTTCCCCGCCGCCCACCACGCCTTCCTGCAGGACCTCTACCTGCGCGCGCGCTACCACGAGGCCGAGCGGGCCCGCGGCCGTGCCCTGGGCGCGGTGGACAAATACCGGCTGCGCAAGAAGTTCCCTCTGCCCAAGACCATCTGGGATGGCGAGGAGACCGTCTACTGCTTCAAGGAGCGCTCGCGCGCGGCGCTCAAGGCCTGCTACCGCGGCAACCGCTATCCCACGCCGGACGAGAAGCGCCGCCTGGCCACGCTCACCGGCCTCTCACTCACACAGGTCAGCAACTGGTTCAAGAACCGGCGACAGCGCGACCGGACTGGGACCGGCGGCGGAGCGCCCTGCAAAAGGTGAGGGGACCGGCCCTCTCCTCAGTCCCCGCTGGAGTCGAGTCTGCGCGCCTGACCCTTTGTGCCCCCCGGCGTTGGCGAGCCCCCGGGCTGAGCCCGGAGACCAGGCACACCCTGGCTTCTCTGGGCATCACTGCCCCACGGGCAGAGGTTCTGGCCGCTGTTTCCAGGTTGGGACTGCAGTGCAGGCGGCAGTAAGAAAAGTGTGTGTGTGTGTGGGGGGGGGGTCCCCTTGGAGGGGCTGCGGTAAGGGCAAGGGGGCCTTTGTCTAAGACGCCTGGGTGGGGACCTCTGCAACCTGGCCCCTGAGTGACTGTTACTTACGCCCACTCCCACGCCCCCTCCGGCCCAAACAGCGTGGTCTGTTGCCTGTCTTTGTTGTGAAACGTGAACCTTCTCCGGCTCCGGTTTCCCTTGTAACCCAAGCCCTTCCCCTCCCACCCCAGGGCCGGGCCTCTAGCTCTGGTCTCTGAAGCCCCGGGGGAGGGAAGGGGAGAACTGGAGTAAAAAGGCTGCTGCCGCGCTCTGCAGCCACGCGCCTGCTGACCCAGGGGACGTGGGGCAGCCTGGGTGCTCGGCTGCAGGCCAAGACAACCGGAAAGCTTCCCTCCAGCTTGGCATTCCCGCCATGCTGTCAACCCCAGCAGGGTTTGTGGAGGCTCTGGGATTCGTGCGGATCCCCTGAAGGGCTCAAATAGTTAACAGGAGCTTGGGTTGCCACTGCCTCTGGGGCCATGTAACCTTCAGGCCTGAGACTTAATCCTTTTTCCTGCCAGCGAGTCCGATGGGAACCCCACTACTGAGGATGAGTCCAGCGGAAGTCCCGAAGACCTGGAAAGGGGTGTGGCCCCCGTGGCTGCTGAGGCCCCCACCCAGAGTTCTGTCTTCCTAGCAGGGGCCACCCCTCCTGCGACATGCCCCGCCTCCTCCTCCATCCTAGTGAACGGGAGCTTCCTGGCAGCCAGCAGTCCCCCCGCAGTGCTCCTCAATGGCAGCCCAGTCATCATCAATAGCTTGGCCCTAGGGGAGGCCTCCAGCCTGGGGCCCCTGCTGCTCACAGGAGGAGGGGGTGCTCCTCCACCACAACCCAGCCCCCAGGGAGCCGGGGAGGCCAAGACTTCCCTGGTCCTGGACCCTCAGACAGGAGAGGTTCGGTTGGAGGAGGCTCCGTCTGAGGCTCCTGAGACCAAAGGGGTTCAGGGGGCTGTTCCTGGGGCAGCTGGAGAGGAAGTCCCAGGGACCCTGCCCCAAGTAGTCCCTGGCCCCCCACCTGCCTCCACCTTCTCTCTGGCCCCAGGAGCCGTTCCCTCTGTGGCTGCTCCTCAGGTTGTACCACTCTCCCCCTCGTCTGGGTACCCAACAGGCCTGAGCCCCACTTCCCCACTGCTGAACTTGCCCCAGGTGGTGCCCACCTCCCAGGTGGTGACCCTGCCTCAGGCTGTGGGGCCACTCCAGCTGTTGGCAGCTGGGCCAGGCAGCCCCGTGAAAGTGGCAGCTACACCGGGGCCTACCAACGTGCACCTGCTAAACTCGGGTGTGGGAGTGACTGCCCTGCAGCTTCCCTCAGCCACCACCCCAGGTACCCCTCCTGCTTTCTTCGGGCCCGGTGGGCTGGGGGAGCAGGTGTCTTGCCTCTGGCACATCTCTTGGGGTGAAGCCTACTGGTACTTCGGCCTGACCTCCAGCATCTTGCCCTCCATCTCTTCTCTCCACAGGAAACTTCCTCCTGGCCAACCCCGTGTCCGGCAGCCCCATTGTCACTGGGGTAGCTGTGCAGCAGGGCAAGATCATCCTCACTGCCACCTTTCCCACCAGCATGCTCGTCTCCCAGGTCCTTCCGCCTGCCCCCAGCCTAGCCCTGCCCCTGAAGCAAGAGCCAGCCATCACAGTGCCTGAGGGAGCCCTCCCAGTGACCCCCAGCCCCGCCCTCCCAGAGGGTCACACTCTAGGGCCAATCTCTACTCAGCCACTGCCACCTGCTCCTGCTGTCACCTCTGCCACCGGCCTGCCTTTCTCCCCGGACTCCTCTGGCCTGCTGCCCGGCTTCCCAACACCCCTGCCTGAGGGTCTGATGCTGTCCCCTGCAGCTGTACCAGTCTGGCCAGCAGGGCTGGAACTGAGCACAGGAGTAGAGGGGCTGGGGACACAGGCCACCCACACTGTGCCGAGACTGCCAGACCCAGACCCCCAGGGGCTGCTCCTGGGGGCCACAGCAGGGACTGAGGTCGATGAGGGGCTAGAGGCTGAGGCCAAGGTCCTGACGCAGCTGCAGTCAGTGCCTGTGGAGGAGCCCTTGGAACTGTGACAGCCTGGACTCAACCACCTCTCCTGACAATGGTGCTCGAGGTGCTCGGACAGGAGGAGGAAGCCTCCTCGGTAAAGTGGCTGCAGTCTGAAGGTCCCACACTACAGCCCTCCACCCTGGACGAGCTGCAGGCCTTGCAGAAGCCAGAGAATCACCCCCGCCTGGGCACTGTCTTCTCCTGATGGGAAGTCTCTTGTTACAGCCCTCCCATGCTCTGCCTGCCCGGTGCATGGGGCACTAGGGGTCCTGACTCGGGCTCTGTCCTCCTCTACCTGGTACTAGTTGAGGGAGGCCCTGCCAAGTGGCTGATTTCCAGCGGCACCCTCCCCATAACACTATTAATAGCCCCACTGATACCCAGTGTTCCCAGAACTGCCTGAATCCCAGGGAGAGGAGACCAGGGTGTGGCCCAGAGAGCCCTTCCTGCCGAGGAGGGTCTGGTGGGTGCACAGGGCCCTTCCCTACTTCCCTGGACTTGAGCCCCAGGATCCAGCCCCAGACCAAAGATTTCCCTGGCCCCCTTGACTAGTTTGTATCGTAAATCTTTATTTTTCTAGGACATGTTATGCCTCCATTTCAATTAAAGTCAAGTTAACAGACAACAGAGCCATTGGGGTAAGGGTCATCTGCCAAACCACCGGCCCAAGAGAGAACTAGAGACAACCCCAAGCCTGAGGCTGTGGCTCGCTTTTTTTGTTTGGGTTCTTTTTGAGATGGGGTCATATTCTATAGCCCAGGCTGGCCTCAAATCCTATCTTCCTGCCTCAGCCTTCTGAATGCTGGAATTATGAACATGGGTCACCACATCCCACGACTGGATTTCTGAGGTAAAGGGGTTGAGTTCATACCTGTGGACTCTGGAGGGTTTTCAAAGTTCAGAAGCAAAGGGCTTTTGGATTTTATGTGTGGAAAGCCCACTCAGGGCCAAGGGATCCTGGACACAGCATTCTTTTTCTCCCTGCTCTTCAAAAGGGTTCCACTTCATTTTAAGACAATTAATAGTCCATAAATAGAGCAGGGAAGGATGCATTGAAAACAAATGGCTGAAACATACGATTCTGGAAGCAGAGGGGAGCTCTGCATTTCATCTGGGGCACCCATCCTGTAAGAACAGGTG